TGGTTTAAGAATAATTATGAATCTCCCTGGAAGCCTCCACCTCCCTCGGCTTCTAAATTTTGGAAATTTATTTGTTGCAAGGCTGTTGGTTTTAAGGATTTGGTTAGCTTCAAGGTTGGCACCGATTGCAATTACTCTTTATTTTGGGACCCTTGGTTCTATGGTGAGCCGCTGGGTAATAGTTTTTGTACCCCACCTGGTATGGGTTGCTGTGTGAAGGACGTGATTATGAATGGGAGATGGAGTCTTCCCAGATCTTGGCCTATTAATATTCGTTCCAGAATTTTGGGCATTCCGATTCTAGATACTGATAACTTGATGTGGGTTGGACCTTCTAAGCCTACTTCTAAGTTTTTCTCTTCCCATTTCTACTCTTCCTTAGACAATGTGGATTGATATAAGTATGTTTGGCATAAAAAACACGCCATTCGTTTTGCTTATTATGCCTGGATGGCGATTCTTGGGAAACTTAAGTGTGCTGATTCGTTGATTAGGAGAGGGCTCCAGGTTAATCCTTTTTGTAATTTCTGTTCGGGTCATTCTGAAACTCACTCGCACTTATTTTTTGGGTGTGACTTTTCTTTTGGAGTTCTCACTAAGCTTCTGCCGGCTACTAATGCCTTCTATTTAAGACCTAACCTTTATCATGTGTATGATTTTATGTGGAACGATGCTATTTTAGCTGTGTTAGAGAAAAAGTTTGCTTCTCTTGTTATTGCAGCTATGGTTTATTTCCTTTGGAGAGAAAGAACTCAGAGGAGATTTTCTGACGTGAGAAAGAACATTAATCAAGTATGTGATGATATTTGTGTAGCGGTTTGTGCCAAGGTTAAAAACTGGAAGAATCATGATGGCCTGGAAGGAAAATTTGGAGAAATTCTGGCTTTCTTGGGATAACTGGAACATCTTGTTTGTGCCACCTGTCGAAAATTATCTGGACATGTTTTTGATGTTTTGGTTTCTCTGCTGCTTCGTGTGGTTGAGGACTGGGTTCTTTTTTGGTTCTTTGTTTTGGCAGCAATCAATTTTTGTGTTAGAGACCATTTTTGGGTTATTTTTGGCGGCTTGGACGATGATGAGCTATGGACTACACCAAGCACCTCCTCGGATGGTCTTTAGGCAACCAGGGCGTGCTATGCTGACCGATTTCGATTTGATCATGGATGTTGGGGACACTGTGAGGGTCCTTGGTTTTTGGTGGTTTGTTTCCTTGTGGCAACCGGTGCTCCTGCTGCTGTTGCTGGGTTTTATACCTAGCATTCATTTGAATGTTTTTTTGATGTTATTTGATCAATGGTGTAGTCCTGTATTCTGAGTCCTATTTTCCGCCTTTTATAATTTGTTACTTCCTTTTCTTTTTGGGGGTATACTGGTCTTACTTGTAATTGATAGAGTTTTGTTGTAATCTTTGATTTTGATTTTAATAGAAGGGCTTATGCCCCAAATTTTCCCAAAAAAAAATTATACAAGCAAGTTGTACTATCTTATTTGTTTCACATAGGATCTGTTCGTACTGGCTAAATTTTTTTATAAAGTTAATTATAAAGTTGTTGCAGAAAAAATAGCTTTTTTGAAAGTTGGAGTAGAAAATAATTTCCTAGCATAAAAATTTATTAAATAGAAAAAAAGTGGCAAAATAAAAATTATAGTTGTTGTCTAAAATATAAAATAGTAAGAAAACAGTCTCAAACAAAGACTTAGGCTTCGTTTGGGACGACTTTCTCAATGCTTCTTAAAGCATCTTTTTAATACAAAAATTAAGCTGCTTTTAGAAGCACGTAGGCTTCGATTGGGACAACTTTCTTACTGCTTTATAAATCAATTAAAAAAATTGAAAATTTTGACAAAATGTAGTGTGACAAAGGCTTGATGTTGTTGTTGTGTTAAAAAACCGTTTTAGAAAATAATAAGAAAACTGTCCTTTTGTTTGAGACAACTTTTTTGCTGCTTTCTAAAACTAATTTCAGTACAGATTCATTTAAAAAAAATTGTAATAAAAAATTGCCTCAAACATTTTAGTATAAAATTTTCTTAGTAAAAAAGTGACTTTAGAAAGTTGTAAGAAATCTACCCAAAACAAAATATTAGTTTTTTTTTTTTAACTGGCTGCCGACTTCAAGAATGCAATCCTCAACCTTTTCTACTCCTCCATTAAAGCGAATGCAGCAAAGGGAAATTGATGAAGTCAAAATCTAAAGCCGTCCAAATATTTTCTTAGCCGTTTGAATACTTTATACTTTACATAGCTCCAGTAGGCTCCACTGTATTGATGATCTTTGGCTTGATAGACTAGATCTCTCTAGCTTGTTGTAGTTGCATGCAACGCCATGTGACTAACAATTATAATCAGTTAATCACCAATCATGTCAAGAGTAGAAACTGGATGGTTCTGCTCTCTTAATATATTCATATCTATATTGATACCTCATTTGTTGTTCTTTATATGCAAGTTCATATGTGATATGGCTCTCTTCCAAATCATAAAATTAAAATCTTATTCATTCATCATATTTTATAAAAATCATAAATGGCTATATCAGAAACATGCTAATATAAAGATAAGAGAAGAAAATAATAAGTAAAAAATACCGCAAAATGAATGCCCTCAATAATTCTAATCTAACGCTCTCAACTTATAAGTTTTTTTTTTTTTTGAACGGGATATCCACCCGCTGTCACCCTCGAAATGGTGTTGGTGGTGTGACTAATCCTTGGCTTACCTAGAAGAGGAATCTACCCCAAAAACCTCCTGGCCCGCACTTGATTGGGTCCCACTTAAAAGGCGTTGCCGCTTGAGGGGAATCTGGCATGAGTTTGAAGGTTCCCAATGGTACTCACCCAACAACCAAACCAACCAAGCTAAGCAACGGTGAGGAAAAGGAATTTCATATATTAAAAAAGATATAGGTAAAGAATACTTTAGTAAACTGCCAACCTTCTAATCATTGCCTCTGCTAATCAGTGAAAGAAGCCAAAACAGCTAAGCTGTCAGCAAAGGCTGAGAACTAGTTTTTGGACGCATCCAATTTGGGTGAAAGGAAAAGAAAAAAGAAAAAAAAAAGTTTTGAAATCTTCAATCAATAGTTATAGATTCAAAGTCATCTCACACATTGTTTGAATTACCTTTATTTTCAAAAAATAGCAGAGCCTTAAGGGCTACTTCAAGTCTTAAAAGGCTCCTTTTACTAGTACTAGAACTGCAACTTCTGCAGTTTTCTTAGAATTACACACCATGGAATCTCAAGAGTCTGGAGCAACAGTCCCTAGTTGATAGATGTGGATCACCAAATCTTGAAAAGATCGATTTCTGTATTTTGGATGCACAGTGAGGACCACAATAGAAATCATTGATACTTAATGAACTCAGGATAAGATGACATATAGTGGTCCTAAAAACTTAATTTACATGCAATGAAAGATGCATGCGCTTCATGGGAGTACTCAGTCATCCTTCGTTTCATGAATAGGAACAGTATTTGATTTAGTTCCAATCTTCAGGATGGAGACTGAGAGCAACAATAATTGTTTACCATGTGTTTGCTCATCTTTTCATTTGATCAGCAAATTATTTCATTTAGGACAATTTTTTTGTGCTTCTAAAACAGCTTTGTAGTGCAAAAATTTCTTGAATAAGAAATCTTTGTACTAAAAAATTGTTTTAAAAAAGAGTAAAAAAGCTATCCCAAACGAAGCATAAGTCAGCTCAGGAGCAGCATCATTGATCTCATTTCAATCAAGAGTCTTCTATTATTGATAGCAAAAAAAGATTATTTTGAATGATTAAGATGCTGTAAGTTCAAATTATAAACAGCCCCTAATTTGATTAGTTTGGTTAAAATTTCCATGTTTTAAAGGCATTTTTGTACACTTTGAGAATTCTGACAAGCTGTTATTGGAGGGTCAAGGCTTGTGCCACAATTAGCCACAATTCTTGATTTTATTGCAAGATTCACCTACAAGTCCTATGTTGCTATCTTTGTTTGCACTACAACAAGAACTGCATCCATGGGCATTCCATGGCGAGAGGGCTAGGGAACATGCCCATACTGGTTCGTGCCTTCGCCACTAAGTGTTCTGATTAAGTGTTCAACTTTCCTCTCAAGTCCTATTTATTTTATGATTTCTGTTCAAGATATTTGCAAAAAATAGAAATATGACAAAGAATCCCAATGTTGACATGGAATAACATTGCAAATACATTAAAGGTATTTCCAGCTCACTATCAGTGTTTTGCAGTTTGCAGCTAGTGCAATGTAGAATAATGTTTTAGATAATATAACTCATTTTATTATGGTGCTGCTACTAAAAAACATTCCTGGAAATTTTACCTTTTTTCATTGCACCAAGATTAGCTTTGAGACATCACTATAAGTCTTACATGTACTACAACAAACACTATTTTGTAGCCATCAAGACCTACGCCAAAGCTAGAGTACTTCATGTATCTTATCATATTAATAACTGATAAGCATGAGAATCTATGTTGGTGCTTGCATGAAAACCCTCCAATTGCTTGGAAGTATATCACATTGTACCAATTTCCTACAAAAGATGTAAGCTTTACACCTCTAGGGTTAGGCTTCATAGTTTTTGAAGGTAAAACACTCGGTGGTCTCCCAAGAAGGTCGGAATCCCATCTCCTTGCTGTCTTCTCTTCGGAATAACCCGATCCGCCCACCAACAGGTCTTCTCATGGCAGTTCTTGAAGAAAAACACTCTCCAATTCATCGCCGTCCTCCCAGATCTCCTTTCCTTGTGGTTCCACCCTAGGAATTGCCGACAATGCTTTTGATTGCATCTCCAACATATTTTTCATCATCTCTTCGAAATTCCCAAAGAGATTCTCGACATAAGAGAATCTTTCTTCTACTCCAGCTTTAAGTTGCTCAATCTCCCCCTCCAAAACATCTAGCTTTTTGACTGTCATTAGACCGGATCTAGGCTCCAATCATCAAGTCAGTGGAGAAACCACAATTTTCAACCCAAAAAAGTGATCTGATACCAAGTTGATATGCCATGGTATCAAGAAGAGCCCATGAACATGATGAATTCAACACAAACATAATTTATTGCTAGAAAAATAAATAATAAGAAGCAAGATACAATTGATCCTCAATTCGAGAGGACCGATCTCTCCTAAGTCTTAAAACGCCGCTAGAGACCAAGAACCAATACACTAAGAAAAACAAAACACTCACAAAACAATAGTGTGGACCTCCGAAAGGACACCGCTTGCGTCTACAGAGTGTTGAGGGTAAATGACCGCACCACCCCGAGGGATAGAGACAATTGTGGGCCTCCGCGCTCTTCGCAAGCGGGCCAATGGGAGGACATATTAGATCCTGCATACGATCAACCATTGGGGATAGCGGCTCTCTCCAGCACACACCGATGGATGATAATATGCACGACCTGATCAGTGTCACGGGGTTTCCCCCACCGGATACATCAGCTCGAGTGAGGTTTATTTATTGTGGAATTCTGTTTCCTATGGGCGAACATGGTTTAAAATTGCGCAATATGAGGCTCGCCTTTGCGCAATTCTAGTAAAAAATGCTTCGATGCTTACACCTCGAGTTTTTTTTATGAGGCTTGCGCCTCAAGTTGGTTGAGCCCCGCCTCGCCTCACGTTATATATATTAAAACTTACATAAATCTTGAAGTAAATGGTCGACATTGGACTCTATAGGAGAGGAGGAAGGGGAAAGCAGTTCACCATAATGATGATTCAAATGAAGAATCCCTTAGTGATGACAGTGCTGATAACTTATGAGTTCTTATGTGATATGTCATTGCTATTTATTTTTGGAAATCAGAATTATATGTTAATGAAAAGAATGCTGGGATTTTGAAAAAATAGAATTTTGAGTTGAACTTTATTCATGTTGTCTTATTAT